AGGCGCAGCCCGTCGCCGGAGAGCAAAGAACCAGACTTCGCGCGCGGCGGCCCCTTCCGCCGCTATAGCAGCCTGTATGGGTGCGCGGGCGCCGCAGATGCGGGGGGCGGCGGCCCCTTCTTTGGCCTGCACACCAGCGCTGGCCCCAAGGCAGCCCAGGCGCGCTACACGTCGCCCAAGGGCAACAAGTACGTGGTCTTCTACCTGGACCTCTCCTTTATCTTCCTCCTAGAGCTGAAGCGCTGCAGCATGGCGCGCGGCTGCCTCCAGGGCGTCAAGTACCTCATGTTCGCCTTCAACCTGCTCTTCTGGGTGAGTGCGGGGGGCGGGCGCGGGGAGCAGGGTCTGGGGGCCGGTGAAAACCCAGGCTCGCAGCTCCGGCTGGGGGCCCAGGCCATACCGACAAGTAGGGAAGGCTTCTGCTAGTATGGGTGTCCAGCCTGGCCTCTGCACTGGGGTGCCCTGTCCTCTCTCCCTTCTCTTGCTGCGCATGTGCGCGCTAGGTAAGGCCAGCCCGGGCACTGCGCCGCTGTCGAAGTCAGGGTTCGAGCGCCGGTGGTGGCCTGCTAGTGCCCTCCCGTCTGCCCGCTTCCCCCCGTGCACAGACTGCGTCCTTGCCTGACTACCGCCCTGCCTCTTTGCCGATCCAGGTCCCACCTCCCTAGGGGAGCCCGCTGCTCGGGAGCGGTCCGAATGGGGCCTCTCAGGGACACTGGGCCCCGCGAGCACCTGCGGGAAGGCGCCCCCCTCTCCCGCCTCCCTGGCTGAGGATCCTCTAACTTCTGCTGAGGCGGGTTGGGGTTTGCTCAGCCGTGGGGCAGGGGTGTCCCAGGGCCGCTGTGTGCTGGATGGGGCTGAGCTGAGGCAAATGGGAGAACAGTGCCCCTCCCTTTCCATAGCAGTAAATCTCACACCTGGCTGAGTTGGATCAAGCCAGACACTGAGAGGGAACTGGGCTGGAGTTGGGGGTGACCTCTGATTACCTGGGTCAGGCCTGGGGCTTTCCTGACTGACCTGGGGACCGCCTGGTGGAGAAATGATGCCAAGGTCATTCCATGTCTCTCTCCCACAGCTGGGAGCACAGGGGTGTGGCTTTACCTCCTGCCTGGGCTCTGGACTTCAGGCTGCTGCTCTCTTAATGTGGTCCTGTTCAGGCTGAGCTCAGGAACCTGGGGCCACCTTCCTGCTTCTTCCTTCCTGGGCCCTGGCTCTTCTCTTTCTAGCTTGAGGTAGCAGCTGGGGAGTCCTGGGAGAGACACTGCTTGTGGGGTGTAACCCAAGGAGGTTCCTGCCCCAGATGTCCACTCCAGAAAGGTCTGTTCTCTGATGAGTCCCAGAACCAGGCCCAGAGGGCACCCTGGAGGCTGTGGAGTGTGCAGTGGACGTGGGTGTGGGCTGGAGCCACAGCTGGGGCATGGGAAGACATGAATGTCCACTTGGTTGGTTGGCTGGCTACAGCAGGCACCAGGGTAGTTAGTGCTAAGGAGTTGGCAGGGTCAGCTACCCCATGCAGTGTGGGGGTGAGTGTTACTGGGATAGTGTGGACAGGGTAGGTGCCAGAATAACTGGGGGAACAGTTCTTGGTGGGGGCAGGTCCTGCTTCTCTCCCACCTGACTTCTTCAGTGACCCAGACACCTGCATTCAGGGAGAGGAGCCTGGCCTCACAGGGTCCCAGGTGAGCTCTTTCTGCCCCAGGAACCCTGAAGCAGCCTCCGTGCTCACTGTGGGCCAACCTGCTCTACCATCCTGCAGCCCTCCATCAGAAAAGAGCAAATCAGGAATCCCCTTGGGACCCCTTCCTGGGATGGCAAATCTAATTCCTTTTTATTACCTAGTCCAGCAAACTGCAGTCCCACTGCTGGCCCCATCCCACCCCAGCCTGGTGCCCACTGGAGGTCTGAGACCTAGGGGTCAGAGCAGGAAGATTTGCCCTGCCTGTGGGCCTACAAGAGCTTAAAGCTGCCATGTGGAGCACATGGCCGGGATATAGATGGGGGTCTTTGTGGAGATGACAGGCACTTCCACCTTTTCCTTGAGCCTCTGCCAGTGAGAAGGCTGCAGATGGGGTAGGGCTAGCACACCCCTTCCCCAAGATCTAGCTCCTTGGCTATAGTGGTGTCTGCCCCTCATAGGAAGGATTTTTGCCTCTCACTTTATCTCCCACTCATGGTGGGAGGCCAGGAGATGGAAGCCCATGTTGTTGCTTCAGTTTCCCCACTGGAGCTAACTGGCTGAACCCACGGGAGAGGGTTTCCACTCCCTGGATCTTGAGACCCCATTTGTCTGTCCTGATCCCACTCTACCGGGTCAGGTGCTGGGCCTCTGGGGTCACCCTGGCCAGTGTGGAGGGCAGCGGTGGGAGCTGGGTGGGGGTCTCGAGAGGAGTGGGCAAGTAGGATGTCAGCCTGCATGCAGGTGCCAAATTCTGGGGGAGGCTGTGGGGGTGGGGCTCCCAGGTGGTACAGTGGTCTTCTTTAGCTCCCTTGTGTCCACCTACCTGGTCAGGCTGCCCTGCGGCTGTGTTCTGCTGTCCCCCAGCCCCAGTCTGGCACCCACCCTCTCCTATCTCAGGACTCACCTTGAAGCCCCCATTCTCTGAAAGGCAGACCCTTCCCCAGTATCTCATGTGCCATCTGGCTTCCTGAGCATTTCTGGGCTGAGGCCGGACCCCCCATGCCCTTTGCTACAGGGCTGGGACCCTGGCTGAGGCCACAGACCCTGACTGGACCTGGGGTGGCCTCGGGCCTCCTTGGGGGCTGGGGGGAGGGGGTAGGTCCAGATGACTCCTGTGTATTGTATTTGATGGGATTCTCCAGCAGCATCCTTGGTGTGTCCTGGGAGGGTGGGGCTACTGGGGGGGGGGTCTGTACACAGCCTCCAGCCTTGCCTTGAGGGGGAGTTCCTAAGAGAGTGGGAGCCTGCAGGTGGCACATGCTGTGGTCCTGAATGTGGGGTGCCCACCCCCAGACCCACAGACGCCTGCCCTCCTTGGGCAAGCTAGATCCTCACTAGGTGGTGACAGCTCCCCTGGGAAGCCGCTGATGTCCCCCTTGGCATGCGGTAGTGTGCAGCCAGGTTAGGGCCAGGGCCCTGTGATGGGAGCCCTGTCCTTGTGGGGGGCCATAGCAGGGCCCATGAGTGGGGAGAGGTGAGGGTTAGGGCTGTGTAGCCCCTGGGACCCCCTTGCTCTCTGCCTCTGCCAATAAAGCTCTTACTGTAATGGAATTGTGGTCCCTGGGTCCCGAGGGAGGACAGAGGCTGCTCTTCCTGCCCTCCCTCCCTCCACCTGACAAGCATCTGGGTATTCTGGGTGGAGGTGGGCCGGGCTCCTCAGCAAGGTGAGACTGTTTCTGTAGCTCCCACATGGCTAGCTGTGAGCCGTGGAAGGGCTGTCCACTTTCCTGCTCAGGCCTTAACCAGAGCCTGACACTCTTGGGCTGGGTCCTGGCTGAACTAACCCCCCATACCACCCCACAGCAGGCATTGCTCACTTTTTCCCACCCCAGGACCAGGCCCTCTGCAAAGCCTAGCTGTCCCCTGATTGTGTGGTCTGGGCCTGTCTGGCTGACCGGGGTCAGGCCCTGGGCAAATCCTGCCCTCCTCAGGCCTCAGTGTCTGTTCTGTACCAGAGGTCTGTGCAGGGTCAGGGTTCCCAGACGCTGGCCCAGGATGGGAGGGGTACAGGTCCTACCTCAGCTGCCACCCAGTCTGCTGACTCCCAAGTGGGCAGAGGCCTGAGCTGGAGGAGACGCAGGGCCAGTCAGGTATGCAGGGCCCAAGCTCTTCCTCCCCTGCTCCCACCAGGAGGGAACTGAGGGACTGCCTTGGCTTGCCCTGCCAGGGCATCAACTACACTGGGGCTCTGCAGTTCCACGCCCATGCTTGTCCCCAGAGAGGGTCCTGGCAGTGCTGGGGCTTCTGCTCTGAGATCAATGCGGAGCTGCAGGGGGAAGGGCCTCTGGCCCTTGGCTTTCTCTCCCCTTTGATGAGCTAAGATGATGTTGGACAGGTAGGTATGCTCAGTCTGCCTACTACTGGGCTTTGGGCAGGGTACTCGGACATGACAGAGAAGGGGACCCTGAAGGCAGCCGAGGGCCCTGCATCCAGTTCCTGGGGCCTCTGGTACTGCCTTTGGCATCCTAGGTATCTTCAGTGGGAATGGCAGCAAACACAGAATGGTTCACTTCTGCAGAAGCCACATGTCTGCTCTTTGGGGAGATTGTGCTTTCTGATGGATTGAGGGTGGTGGCAGTTGGTGGAGGGGGGACCCTGCCTACCTAGCTATGAGCTCTAGGTGGCTGTGTTCACCCATTGACCCAGATGCAGCTCCATGGGGACTCTGTGGGTCCTTAGGGTCCAGCCTGCTGGCAGGGCAGGTGAGCCAGGCCCCTGTGTGGAGAGAACCTTATAGATGTGGAATAGGAGTGGAGGACTCTCTGTGGCAGGGATGTGACCTCAGCTGCTAAGAGCTGCAGGGGACAGGTGGAGAGGTCAGGAGATTCGTGTACAGGAAAGGGGAGTGCTCCTGGTGGACCCTGAGTCCCAGTTCCACCTGCCCACAGCAAGACCCTGGCCCCATTTCCTGGCCTGGCAGTGGCCCTTCCTCTCCTCTCCCAAGTGGCCTTGCCAAGGCCACAGTCTGTCCTCTGGATGCCCCTAGGCCCATCTAGCAAACTCCTACTCACCTTGCAGCAACTAGTTCTGCTGCCCTGGGAAGTGTGGCCTGCTGGCAAGGGCTGCTTTGTTCTCCTTGCCTTGGACTCTGGCCTCAGTGTGTCCTTGGTCAGTGGGGTGTTGGCAGTCTCCTCCTCTGGGAGTCTTGGGTGCACCTGGAAAGCCCTAGGGTCAGGGTGAGTGGACAGAAGATGGTGGTGTGAGCACATGGTACATGCTGTCCCCACCATGTCCCGTGTGTGCAGCAGCTCAGGGCTGGGCACAGCCGCTCACGCCTATAATCCCAGCACTCTGGGAGGCCAAGGAAGGACAGTCATTTGAGCCCAGTCTGAACAATGTAGTGAGACCCATTACTACACATATACAATAATTAGTTGGGCATGGTGGTACACACTCATAGTCCCAGTTCCTTGGGAGTCTGAAGCAAGAGAATTGCTTGAGCCCAGGAGTTAGAGGCCTGTGAGCTGTGATGATCCCCTGCATTCCAGCCTGGGTGACAGAGTAAGACCCTAGCTCTTACAAAAGAGGAGAAAAAAAGTCAATTGTACTAATTTTAAGTGGACAGGCTCATCATACCTTGTAATTAGCATACCAGCCAAGATGGGGGCATTTTCTCTGGACACAGACTTGTCCGTGTCCTCTGTGGGGACCTAGCCCTCCACCTTGTTCCAAAGACTTGGCCGTCTGCTCGGCCATCTGCCACACTAGCCCTGTGGCCAGAGGGGCAGTGGGCAGAGGGCCAGCTTGTACTGCCCTCTGAGCCTGGGGGTGCACATTCTATGGTCCCCACCCCAGCCTGAGGTCAACACCAAAATATACAGAAAGAGCATTAAGAGTGGGGGTTGGAGCAAAAGCGGGGTCGTGTAGGCAGGTGCTGCCACGTTAGGCTGGATGTGGGGGTCATGGCTGGCTCACTTGTGGACAGAGCCCATGGTCACTGCTGAAAGTCATGGTGAGCAAGTGCTGAATGGGGCTGGACTGACACCAGCTGGGGGACAGTCCCGCTCAACTGCTGGCTGGGGCCCAGATGTTCGGTGGGACACTGGTGGGGGTCCCAGCCCCCCAGCTGTTGCCACCTGGGCTGATGTGGCCAGGGAGGGAGTTCCTTGTCTCCAGGCTCAACACATTCCTCCTATCTTTAGATGTTCTGTCTGATAGGGCCATTTTGCCTTGCACTTTGAGGCAGTAATTTTCCTGCCAAAAAAAAAAAAGTTTTTTTTCTTTGAGACCAGAGCCTCAAGCTAGCTGTCGCCCTGGGTAGACTGCTGTGGCATCACAGCTCACAGCAACCTCCAACTCCTGGGCTCAAGTGATTTTCCTGGCTCTGCTTCTCAAGTAGCTGGGGCTACAGGCGCCTGCAACAATGCCTGGCTAATTTTTGACTGCAGCCATCATTGTTGTTTGGAGGGCCTGGGCTGGATTTGAACCTGCCAGCTCTGGTGTATGTGACTGGTGCCTTTGCTGTTTGAGCCACAGGCGCTGAGCCACCAAAATGTTTTAAAAGCTACATATACAGAAACATTTTCACAATCACAGGTCATTTCATTACCCACATGCGTGCATTCTTCAGGGCAGGTGCATCTGTGAGTGTGCAGTGTAGAGTCTGTGGGATGTGTCAGCACCAGGCAGCCTCAGGGGCTGGGAGAGTACCAGACGGCCTCAAGGCCAGGCCATGAGTATTGTGTGGCTGTGTTTGGCAGTGGCATCTGATGACAGTGGGGTGGAACTGAGGATGTTTCCTGGACTGCTCATTAAGGAAGTGAGTTCCAGGTGGCACCTGTGGCTCAAGAAGTAGGGTGCTGGCCCCATATGCCGAGGGTGGTGGGTTCAAACCTGGCCCCAGCCAAAAAACTGCAAAAAAAAAAAAAAAAAAAAAGGGAAGTGAGTTCCAACTGGGCCCAGTGCTCACCCCTGTGATCCCAGCACTCTGGGAGGCTGAGGCAGGTATATTTCAAGAGCTCAGGAGTTCCAGGCCACCCTGAGCAAGAGCAAGGCCCTGTCTCTACAAAAATTAGAAATATTAGCCGGGCATCATGGCAGGCACCTCTAGTCCTAGATATTCAGGAGGCTGAGGTAGGAGGATTGCTTGAGCCCAGGAGTTTGAAGTTGATGTGAACGATGAGCCAGGGTGACAGACAGACTGAGACTCAAAAAACAGGAAATGAGTTCTCACCAGTGCAGGAGTAGTTATGGAAGTGGAAGGAGCTTGGAGGTGTAGGAGAATAGGACATTCGTTTCCCCATCCAGCCATGGTGCCACCTTTTTTATTTTTCTTTTTTTTTTTTTAGATAGAGCCCTGGGTAGAGTGTCCTGGTACATCATAGCTCACAGCAACCTCAAACTCCTGGGCTCAAGTGATCCTCCTGCCTCCGCTTCCTGTGGACCACAGGTGTGCACCACAATGCCTGGCTAGTTTTTTTTATGTATTATTATTATTATTTTAGTAGAGATGGGGTCTTACTTTTGCCCAGACTGGTCTTGAACTGAGTTCAAGGGATCCCCCACTTCAGCCTCCCAGAGTGCTGGGATTATAGGTGTGAGCCACTGTACCTGGCTCACCAGCCACTTTGCATGCTGTCTTCCCCAAGCCCTTCATGCATCCCCCGTGGGGTGAGGGGAGCTCAGAATGGTTCACTTTTCTGCTGACATGAGTGGTCCACTGTCCTTGGAAGGTAGAGGTGGATGGCGCAGGCAGTCTAGGTTTTAAATGACACTTTTCTCTGTGGCACCAGCACCTCTTCTGCTCAGGGGCCTGTCATCACCTGACCTGGGTGTTTAGCCCCAAGGTGTGAAGGCAGGACATGTTCTGAGCTGGGCACTGTGCCTGGGGTCAGCCATTTCCCAGGTCTCTATGGTGGGGCAGGCACAGAGCTGGCAGAGAGGCCACCTCACCCTCCCACTCATCTTCCTGGGGCAGCAACAGGGCAGGGCCGTGCCTGTGTCCTGACTGCCCCTTCATTCCCCCAAGTCACCTCTCAACCCTGGATGACTCCCTGAGACCTGGGCACCACTGGAGGCCCTGGGGAGCCCCTTGTCTCTTTGTGGCAGGACATGTCTGGTGGGAGGACTGAGCCATTGCCTGTTTAGGCCTCTCCTTACCCAGGGGGATTGTGTCACTGTCCCAAAGACCAGATGGGGATGCCCAGAGCACTGCCAGGCCCAGCTTCATCCCCACCAGCACCTGCCTGTTGTCAGCACTGTGTGTGTCCTATGTCAGGGCCCTGGTCCTACAGGAAGGAGGGCATCTCTGTAGAGCTGGGAGACCCTTGCCCCACCGTGGAACCATGCCCCAAGTATCCAGCTCTGCTGATGAGGAGAGACCCTTTAATCAGGCCCTCGCCTGTCCCTGGTTCTCAAACTTGGGCTCATCCACACCCAGCTTGCACACCCAGCCCATCCCTCCCCAGGCCACTGTCGTCAGCCTGTGCTTATTCCCAGTACAACTCCTTCCAGGTCTCCTGGGTCTGCCCCAGAAGTAGCCTCCCCAAATGCCCCTCAGGCTGGGTGCTGTGCCGAGGCCTCCTGGCAGCCACCAGGGCAGTGCAGGCAGAGCAGGGGTGCATTAGCCCCTGCAGTAGGATGCCCTCCATGCCTGGGCCTCACCCAGCCAAGTCTCCTGGCTCCCCTGTGTCCTGGGTGTCTCAGCTCCACAAAGCTCCCCAGGACAGGTCCTGGGCTGTAGCTCCAGCTAAGCAGAGGGGACAGAGCCTGTGGTCATCCAGGCTGCACAGCTGGAGGATTTCCCTGCTCTACAGGGTTTGTCCCTGAAGGGCCCCTGACACCAGTAGAGGCCTGGGCCCCATTCTAGGCACCTGTGGCTGCTCTACCCCTCGGGCAAGGAGCCTCACCATCTTGGTCCTGCCAGCCTTCTCCCAAGTCCCCTGGTGAGGAAGCTGTAGCTGCAACCCCGCCCTGGGCCAATATGCGGATGGGAGGGGTGTGTCAATGTGCACCTGGCCTGGGGCAGGGGTCTCAGTCTCAGGGCCCACTGGACCTTTTTCAGTCTGGGGGTCCTTGTCTAGGACAAGGGCCTGGGCCTGGTCTGGCTGGGATGGGGGGCTGCTTGTGGCCTGTCTACTAGCCCTTGTTTCTTTGGTTTTTTGAGACAGTCTCATTATGTTGCTTTTGGTAGAGTACCATAGTGTCACAGCTCACAGCAACCTCAAATTCTTGGGCTCAAGTGATTCTCTTGCCTCAGCCTCCCAAGTAGCTGGGACTACAGGCGTCCACCACAACGCCCGGCTATTTTTGGTTGCAGTTGTCATTGTTGTTTAGCTGGTCCAGGCCAGGTTCAAACCTGCCAGGTGGCTGGCGCCATAACCACTGAACTACAGGTGCCAAGCTGTAGTCCTCGTTTCTTTGGAGGCTTTTGTAGGGTGATGTGGGGCTTATAGTATAGCCCTGAGTGGATGCCATTTCTTCCAGTCCAGTGGGCTCCACAGGGCCCAGGGCTGCCCCCCTAGGGCTGGAACACATCTTTTTGTTTCATCCTGGAGGCTGAGGGCTGGGGGTCAGCCCTGCTCCTCCACACTGGATGTCCCATCACAGGCTGAGAGCCCTCAGATCCACCATGCCCTCCCCTTCTCCTACCACTCTCATTTTCACTGATTTTCGCCACAATAGGACAATTGGGAAACAAGAAAGGCTTGGGTCACAGACAGGGAGGAGCCCATGGGAGGCAGCTGTGGGCAAATGCCCCAGTTTAGACTATCCTCTGTCCCATAGGCACTCACAGCACTGTGAGGAGCTCTTATTAACTATAAGCAGAAGCCTGAGGGGATCAGGGTTCCCTTGCCTAGGATGACAGGTGGTGGGGGGATGGCATGGCAGTTGGACCACCCACCAAGAAGCCTGGTTTGGGAATGAGGATACATGGGCAGCAGACTGCAGGGCCTGAGGTGTCTAGTGGGGAGCCTGCTTCAGCAAGCCCAGACTTGGGGCAGGCTAGGTCATGGGGACCCAGGCAGCAGGGTGGATAGACACATGTTGGAGGGAATAGTATTCCAGGAAGACACTGGGACCCCCTCCCAGGCTGCCTTAGTCTCAGGGTCATCTCAGTTGGAGGCACCAGCCCAGGTGTTGTGAAGACTGGGGAGCAGAGGGGTGCCCAGGTCTGGTGACTCCATAAGGTTCCTGCCCTGGGAGGCCAGCAGGGCATGCGAGGGTGCTACAGGGATTTTGTGGGGTTCTGGGTGGTTTGGGCTCTAGCTGAGGGATGGTGGGCTCTGCCAGGGTGTGGTGCTTATGACTACACCTCATGCTACCTCTTTCCCCTGCCGGGGTCCCAGCTGGGAGGCTGTGGTGTTCTGGGCGTTGGCATCTGGCTGGCCGCCACACAGGGGAACTTCGCCACGCTGTCCTCCTCCTTCCCGTCTTTGTCGGCTGCCAACCTGCTCATTGTCACCGGCGCCTTCGTCATGGCCATAGGCTTTGTGGGCTGCATTGGGGCCATCAAGGAGAACAAGTGCCTCCTACTCACCGTGAGTGCCAGTGGGGACTGTGCGGGCGTTGGAGGGCAATGTGGGGTGCTCCAGCGGCTCCCCAGGCTGCTGAGGTCTACCTGACATATGGACCCACCTCTGGGGCCTGACCTGAGGGACAGGAGTACCAGACCAGGCTGGGGGCTGCTCCCTGAAGAGACTGTGTATAGCCTGGTGGGGGCCTTCCTGATGGGGTATACCCTGTACATGTGGGCACTCACACACAGCTTTCTCCAGGCTTGCCCCTGACCACCCCCACCCCTATCCTGGGTGAACCTGGCCCCTTGGAGTCCCTAGACCCTCTGCTGAGAGCCCTACTTCCCCCATCTAGGCCTCAGAGATGGATGTGTGGGCATGATGTTTTCTTTCCTCAGAAATGTTAATCACAGATATTTAGAAAGGACAGGAGTCTTGGAGGAGAAACTTTAGGGATTTATGAATGAGTCCAGCATTGTCCTCGGTGCAGGGGGGACACTTGCTGAGGTCCAAGGTCATGAGGCTGCAAAGGGTCCTTTTGTCTGAGGGGCCCTCAGATCTCCTAGCCTGGTGGAGACAGCCTCTCCTTGCCCCCATTTGGGTCAGGCTTCCCAGGAGGCCAGCATTCAGGGAACACTCCCAGTTGGGGCTAGGGTTCTGGTGGGTGTGGGAGTGGGGACACAGTATAGTGGGGTCTGCAGCAACCCTATGGGGGCTTGGCACTCCTCAGATAGTTAAGGAACCTGCAATGTGTGGCCCCAACAGAAGCCTGGCACCCTTTGCCCAGGGCTGACTTGTCTGAACAGAGACTGGAGGGGAGCAGGACAGGACAGTGACCACTCCCTGGCTCAGTCCTACTCACCCCAACCCTGTTTATGCCTCCTTGCTTTTGGGAGTGCCAGTGGCCTACACAGAGAAACAGGCTGGGAAGCCTGTCTCCACCCACTCAGTTGGCCAGGGCTGCAGGGCTGGTGTAGGACTGTGTCTTGCTATGTTGGGGCTGCTGGGAGGGTGGAGGCTTCCTGTAGCTGTCTTAGTTCCCCCAACCTCAGTCTTGCCTGACAGGCCATTGGGCACCCTAGCTGCCCTGAAGGGGATGACTTGAGAGTTGGGGGACCACTGCAGTCTAGCCCCTGCTGGGTCCCCTTCCACCATACAGATGCCCAGCGTGCACAGGGTACAGGCACTGGAGTGCTCACAGGCCCCTGGAGGGGCGATGTTTGGGTGCATTTCAAATGTCCCAGCTGAGGCATCCTGAAGGCAGCTGATGGGACTGGGGAGGATTGGGGCCTCAGGAATGTGGACTTGTCCCCACTTGACTATATCTGGGTCAGTCTGAGGGGGTGGAGGGACCCAGCCCAGGTCCACAGAAGACTGAGGGTTCCAGGCATGGTGGGGGTGGCGTGGGGTCCCCTGGTGCAGGGACCTGGCTGGGGTTTCTGGCAGCACCAGGTGTCTAGGAGTTTTGGCCTGGCCCTTAGCATACTGTTAGGCTTGAGGTGGCAGTGTCTGGGTCACCAAGGCCCTGCCCCTCTGGCAGTTCTTCGTGATGCTGCTGCTCGTATTCCTACTGGAGGCCACCATCGCTATTCTCTTCTTTGCCTACACTGACAAGGTAAGGCTGCTTGTCCCCACCCTTACCCCCGCCCCGGGTGGGGCTGCATCCTGGCACCTGTACCTCCCACTGGGGCCAGGACGTGGGACTGGATTCACCCACCTCCTCCGGAGGCCAGGCCTTGGGTGTCCCTGGCAGCCCCGGGGGCTTGCTTGTAGCTTCACTCAGCTGGGCTGCCCCCACTGCATCTCACCTGTAGTTCTGACAGGAGGCAGCCTGTCCCCCATTCTCACTGGCAAGGGCTGTTTACTCATGTTGTAGACTCTGCTCATGAACCAGGGCTGCTGCTTGTCCATCACACTGTCCATCTGGCCACAGGGAGCTGCTCTGGCCTGCTGAAGCACCCAAATGTGCCATCAGCAGGCTTTCCCCTTGGCACATCTCCTGACTTGCTGGCCCCTCAGGGTGCTCCGACTCCCCCTGTGCCCTCCCTGCCTGGGGCCCACTCCTGCACTTCTCCAAGGGCCTAGGGTCTTCTATGGTGCTGGAGACCCCTGGGTGTTGTAACTTCTGGGCTTCAGCTCACAGCAGGGACATGTCTTTACTAATAAGTGGATGCATGTATACCTGCTCCCCGCCATCCTTGTTCTCCAGGGAGGACACTGGCAGTGGCAGGGAGGTGGCATCTGGGACAGGAGGCTTGGGCTGTATCCTCAGCTTGGGCAGGATAAGGATGCTGGTGGAGATGGGGTGACTTAAGGATGTGGCATGGTGGGGCATGGGTGGGGTTGGCATGGGGATTGGGATGAGGGAGGAAACATAGTGAGGGGCCCTGCTGTCCCTGCCACATCCCCAGATTGACAGGTACGCCCAGCGAGACCTGAAGAAGGGCCTGCACCTGTATGGCACGCAGGGCAACGTGGGCCTGACCAATGCCTGGAGCATCATTCAGACCGATGTGAGGCCAGGGCAGGTCTGGGAAGGGGCAGGACAAGTGTGTCCCCATTGTGCCCAACACCAGGCTTGTGCTTGCCCCCCAGTTCCGCTGTTGTGGCGTCTCCAACTACACTGACTGGTTCGAGGTGTACAATGCCACGCGTGTGCCTGACTCCTGCTGCCTGGAGTTCAGCGAGAGCTGCGGGCTGCATGCTCCTGGCACCTGGTGGAAAGCGGTGAGTGGGACCCCCACCCCAGGGGACTGTGGGCCTGGAGGGTGGGTGCTGCTGCCCAGGTGACATGGCTCTCCTGCAGCCCTGCTATGAAACAGTGAAGATGTGGCTTCAGGAGAACCTGCTGGCTGTAGGCGTCTTTGGGCTGTGCACTGCACTGGTGCAGGTATGAACATCCGTCTGAGCCCAGGGGATAATCAGAGACAGACAGGTGGCCTTATGCTCCCAGGACAGAGCACAGCTGTTTCCGGGCAGACAGAGGCAAGGGTGGGGGACAGAGGCTGGAGCTGTGCTGACTGGTGGTCCCAGCACTGTCCAGGGAACAGTGTGGGCAGTAGCCCAGGCCCTGGTGCCCATGGCCTCTACCTCCTGGCTTCATAGCCTCCCTGAAGTCCTGAGTGTCAGCACTGTCAAGAGCTTGAGGCCCAGTGGTATCAGACCTGCCCTCTCAGGGCAGCCTGTCCCATGCCTGGGGTGCACAGACAAGTGTGGGCCATAGCCAAGTCACAGCTGAGACAAATGGGCACAGCAGGATGGGCCACTGAGGGCCTTGGGTCATGTGGGAAGGGAGGCGAGTGAGCAGGAAAGGGGCACCCAAGGGCTGAGCTCTGGGAGGTTCAGAGGCAGTGGCTCTGATAGGCCAAATTGAGGGGTCAGGAAACGCCAGAGCTCTGCCTACTATGTCCTGTGCCCAAGTGGGTCTGGGCTAGGGCATCTGCTGAGGGCAGGGTATGTGCTGGACAGGGCTCTGGGCCTGGGGAGAGTGCCTATGGCATCCTGAGCAGCCCCGCCCTCTTCCTGTCCCCACAGATTTTGGGCCTGACCTTTGCCATGACCATGTACTGCCAGGTGGTCAAGGCAGACACCTACTGCACATAGGCCGCCTACCATGCCTGCTTCTCTGCCAAAGGCCACCGCCTGCCAGGAGATGGCCACACTTAACACCCACCTTTCCCAACATGATTTGGTGCTGCATTCAGGGCTGGGCACAGGGGAGGGGAGGAGCAGCCCAGTATGGCTGTGGTACCCAGGGCTGGGGGCAGGAGGGGTTTCCGGCATTTTTATATCTGTGTAGTCTCCAGAGCAGTGTTCACACGGGGGGGTGGAGGGGCCAAGGGCCAGGTCTCAGCTGAGACTAACCACTGGTGCTGGTGCCCCAGGCAGGGTGCAGGCCCTGTCATCCACCTTCTAGCGGGCACAAGGGGTCCAGTATATCTTAATAAAGTGCGTGAGCAGCAACCCCAGTGTATGTCCCTGGTCTCCTCCCTGAGGTGCTGGCTATGTGGCTGTGAACACTCCCACCAATGCAGCCTGGGACTTGTGGGGTTGACTGCAGAGGATGAAGCCACAGACCTCCAGTCTGAAGGAAAGGCCTTGTAGAAGCCCTAGGAAGTGGTACAGAAGCCCCAGGGGACATTCCTGAGCATCCTCACCACCCATTCCCTGTCTGAGCACTGCCTCCCTCCATCTTATCCCTTTCCAGGGTGTCCTCTCACCCCATGATCTCCACCCCTCTTTTATTCCTAGGAGCTCTGATGTGGGCTGGCAGGAGCAAAGCAATTGTCATGCAGTTAGAGAAATGGTCAAAATGCATCAAACTATGGGCAGCGCCTGTGGCTCAAGAAGTAGGGTGCTGGCCTCATATGCCAAGGGTGGTGGGTTCAAACCCAGCCCTGGCCAAAAAAAAGAAAAAAAAATGCGTCAAATTATCTCAAAGTCAGAATTCTTGTAACCAGAGTGAGGAGGGCTGCGGTGGAGACCGCGGCTATAGGGATGGCAGCTGGAGGCCCAGGCTGGGGCATGGCCCTCCTGGGAGCCTCATTAGCTGTGGGGTACACATGATTTCTCCACAATGCACCCCACAATCTCCATTTCCAGCTCACTCCTACCACCTCCAGTGTCACTGGCTTGTGTGGCACGTCCACCCCGCTGCACTAAGCACCGACTTGGCTGAGGGGACATGAGCAGATTGCCCAAGTGCCTGGCCCAGAGCTGGGGCCATCCATTCCACTTTTTTTTTTTTTTTTTTTTAAACAGAGCCTCAAGCTGTCCCCCTGGGTAGAGAGAGTGCCGTGGCATCACAGCTCACAGCAACCTCCAACAACTCCTGGGCTCAAGCGAGTCTCCTGCCTCAGCCTCCCAAGTAGCTGGGACCACAGGTGCCCGCCACAACGCCCGGCTATGTTTTTGGTTGCAGCCATCATTGTTGTTTTGGCGGGCCTGGGCTGGATTGGAACCCACCACCTTAGGTGTATTTGGCTGGCACCTTAGCCACTTGAGCCACAGGCACCAAGCCCATCCCTCCCACTTCTTTACCAGACCCCCATGTCCTGGCTCTCAGTTCTGAGCTCAATTCCTGTCATGATCTGAACTGATTCCAGCCCATCTGAGGTGTACGACCCCACTGTCCACCTCCATAACACCCTCAGTAGTCAGAGGGACAACACTGGTAGACTGGGCACTCCCACCTGGAGTCTCTTATGCCCCACAGTAGGCTCTACCCAGGATCCCTGCCTGGGACATGTATCCGCCTGTGCTCTGGGGTCTCTGATGGAGCACCCAATTTAGCTCACTGACCCTGGACTTGTGGCCAGCACTGCTGTAAGCCCATGTGTGGGTGGTGAGTGCAGGGCTCCCAGACCCCTGCCCTCCCTACTTGCCTGGGTCTTTGAAGCTAGGGAGGGGGCTGAGAGGTTCTGGCTTCTAGCCAGACTGACTGGCCAGCCAGTGTGGGTCAGTGTGCTTTGGAGAGCTCAGCCCAAGGAGCCCCTCTATGGCCCCATAGAGCTGCTGGTACCCTGGCCTCAGCCTCACCCCTCTAAGTACCACATATGTGCCCATGGCACCTGAGCACGTGGTTTCTAATGAGCTGGGTGGTGTGAGACAGCCTCCTGCCCTGCTGTCCTGTTTAGGCCAGCTCCCCAGATCTGGAGGGATACCCATTTTCCAGAATCAGCAGAGGCAGGGCAGTGCCTGAGACCCCTCTGATGTTGGGATGGGGTGGTTGGCTGAGTCTGTCTGTCCCACGGCTCCCTGCCTCACCATCTTGAACACCTGGCCTGCAGGCCGCCCTGGAACTGGGTGGTCCAGGGCTGCCCCCTAGCTGGAGCTGGGCAGAATGCAGCTAGTCTGTGTTCTGAGGCTGGTTTGTGCTGTGGCCCACCTGGTGCCAGGGTAGACCTCCCAGCTATACTAGGAGCAGCTCCCCTGGCTGAGCAATCCTGACAAGGGGTTTATTCATGAACCCAGGAATATACATCTGCCCCTTAAGACCCTCCTCCAGTCCCAAACCCATAATTGGGGGATACAAGATCCCCATGCCCCAAGACCCTCAGCCCCAAGGGCTTCACGGAAGCTACAAAGCTCAGGGCGATCCTGTTCAAGTCTGGCTGGCTTGCGTGGGGTGGTTCCCAGGCCCTTGACCAGTGATTTGAGGATTCGCTTGTATGGGGCCAGTGGAGTAAGAACATCCACTGGCACTGACTGCCTGGGAGGAGCAAGGGATCTCTTGCCTCAAAAATCCCCAGACACCTCCCTGACGTCTAGGCCAGACCTGGGCCTGTTGCACTGCGGGGTAGGTGGAGCCAGCCAGCCATCAGCTGTAGAGGGCATGCAGTCTGTCCAAGCCAGCCCATAGGTCCCTCACTATGTTCCACGTGTGGCCGGGCCAGCATGGGGGGGTCATGCCATCTGAGGTGGCAGAGCTAAGCTGGGGTCTAGGGCCAGAGTTTGAAGGGGGTGGGGCCAGCTCTTTTGAGCCCCAGTGTCCAGGCCCCTCCACCATGGGCTTGGTGTGGACATTGGCATGACTGCTACAGGCATCAGTCTCCTGTGCATACATGTGCCCATGGTAGGCCAGATGTAACACAGTGGGTGGGGCAGGCCCTCAGCTCTGCCATCACCAGGCCCTGGAGTCCAGGTGTGGGTGGGTCTAGGATTGTTCTGGAGCTTCCAAACCCACATCCACCCTAGCTGGGAGAGGCCTGAGCCAAGCTGCTCTGGGATGTGGGCTGTGGTCCTGCCCACCCAGCTGACCGGGTGCCTGCTCAGCCAAGACTCTTCCCCAAACAGTGCACAGGGCAACACCCCTGTGTGAGGGGGGGCCATCAGGTGGCACAGGACCTCACTGAGGACCGCAGAAGACGCGTCTCAGTGACAGGCCTATATTTCACATTGGGCAGTCACTCCAAGGGTTAGAAGTTGTGTCCGCCTGGAGGTTGTGCTGCATGGTCTAGAGCAGGTCGTAGAAGTAGTCCAGGCCCTGGCCCAGCTCCCAGATGGAGACCCCGACGCCCAGCTCCCTGGCCAGCTCCAGTCGCACCTGCAGAGACTGTGGGTGGACAGAGGTGTGGGCCTCACCCCCAACACACCTGGGAACTATCCCGCAGGCCACAGGGGCAGTATGGCCTGGACTCCAAGAGCGGCAGACCAGACTTGGCCGACTGCCACTGCCTCCCACAAAGGGAGAAAGAAGGTCACTGTGAGGTAGGAGGCTGCTGTGTCACCAAATCTGGTCACACCACTACACCCTGTGAAGCATAGTGGGCAGCAAAGCACATACCTTCAGAGATGGGTAGAAAACCACATGCCTCCCGCCGCGGCTCCTGAAAGACAAATGGGGCCATCTATTGTCTCTGGGTACCCCAGCCCTTCCCTATCCTGGTCAATGTCAAGAGGTCTGTGCCCCACACCACCCTAGGGCCACCTCCCTGCAGGCCGGGTGGGCCAGCTACACCCCAACACTCACTTCTTATACTCAAAGAAGTGCTCCGAGGCCTGGCTGTCCCACACAATCCGTGGCCTGTGGTCCTTCAGGGTCTGGATGTACCTGGAGAAAGCATGTGGGTATAGGAGCCCGCTGTCCTTCAGCCCCTCTGGAGGCTGTATGGGGGCATCAGGTCTCCAGAATTGTTGTCCCCAGTGGTCTACGGATGCCAGTGACACTCCGTGCTCTGTGTCATGGAGCGAGGGGAGGGCGGGGTATTGGCCAAAGCCCCTCCTGCACATGTGAACTCTGTATTCAAGGACACCCCAGAAAACACCTTTCTCTAAGAGACTCATTTGTACTGTTCTGCAGAATGACACTGGCCCTGGAGGGGGGGTGCTCACCCTTTTAAGCTGCTGGACATAGGTTCCACACTCTGCCCAGAGCTTGGGTACAAGGACAGCAAGACAGACCTCAGGCTGCTGGCCTGGCTGCAGGTCCTGGGCTGAGGGGCAGTGTCTCCTTCTGGGCCCAGCCAGGGGCTGGGTTTGATCTGTCAAAAATGGCCACCATTGGCCGGTGCCTGTGGTCAAAGGAGTAGGGCGCCAGCCCCATATAGGAGGTGGTAGGTTCAAACCCGGCTCCAGCCAAAAACAGTTTAAAAAAAAAAAAAAAAGGCCACCATTCCCAGGGCTGTAGCTGGTCCTTCCTGAGCACGAGGTGGGGGGAAGTGCAAGAACCACCCCTCCACCTGCACAGAGCACAGGTGCAGTCCCCAAGTGCTGGGGCCAGGACTTGGCTTATCAGAGCTTGCGGGGTACCCCAAGTGCGTGTCACCATCTCCCATTCCCAGGACCCTATGGACCACAGCCACCAGCAGGAGATGATTCTGGAAGCTTCTTATCGCTATAGACAGGAGTCTGCAGGTGGAGGTACCTCCCTAGCAGGCAGCTTATGAGTGGATACAATCAGTACCTGCCATGCCGGACAGTGCCTGCAGGGTGCATGTAGCCACAGCCTGAAGGGGGCAGTACAGCAGGCCTGCAGCCTGGGCTTCTAAGGAGGGAGGATGGGCAGTGGGCAGCTGCAGGGCCTAAGGGAAATTAGGCTAGACAATGCAGCCCTCCCTGGGCCCCTGACCTTGAGGTGTGGAACATCTCAGGCTCCCAGAACAAGACAGAGGCCCACCGACACCTGGGGCCTCCTCCAGCCTAGAGCAGCTGTCATTTCAGAGCTGTGAGTGGGAGCTACCATCACCTTGTCTAGCAGTGCTCAAGAGTACACTCAACCCTGGAGCACTGCTGGCTTTGTGGGGTATGGGGAGGGGGCTGCTCCACAGGCATCAGGCCCTCCCAGACCCCAATAGGACACCCAGGGCGAGCATGGCAGGGAACAAACATCACCAGCTGAATAGCCCAGGTAGTGGCAACCTGGCCAACCCAAGCCAAGCTTCTTCTAGACACCCCAGGCCTGGGAAGGCATCACTGGTCCCCCAGGACGTGACTGGCACTGCCCTCCCAAAGCTAGCCCAAGCCCCTA